CGGACCACCATCGATCTATATCATTGCCAACACCGACGACGACTACCATCGATCTGAATCATCGTCAGACACCGCCAACCACCGCCAACCACCATCGATTTGAACAACCACCGCCGCCACCGCCTATCTGAATCACCGTTGACCACCTCCATCCGAACCACTACGGACCACCATCGATCTAAATCACTATGGACCATCACCATCTGAACCACTTGGGACTACCACCGATCTGAATCACCGCCGACCACCGTCGATTCAGTAACGTCGTTTGTCTTATGATTATATTTAGGTTGTGTTTTTTATATTGTTTTACATTTTAAATCATTATTTTATTAAAATATTTTTAGTTTAAAAAAATTAAAATTTTCAAAAAAGGGCATTTTGGTCATTTACCAATATTTTATTTCAATTCTAAAGCTACATTCTGTGAACCAAACAGACAGATTGCAATTTCTTAACAGATTTCATTCCAATGTCTGTCAACCAAACAGGTGGTCAAACATGACAACATTCCATTCCAATTCCTTCAAAGTCAAATTTCTTTAACAGATTTTATTCTATTAAAAAACATTCTACGAACCAAACGCCACCTAAGTGTTTATATTTCTTGAAGATGGATTCCACTCAGTCTACTATCGAAGCATCCCGTTCCTCACGAAGCATCAAGCTATTGTTTATTTCTATAGTCTTGATATAAAAAGTAAGTTTCATTTATTTATTAATTTTAGTTTTTATATTTGATTTTGTAAATGTTAAATTTATACTATATTATAAAGTATTTAAAAAAACTCTTAAAAATCATCTTTTATATACGAAGTAATGATTATTAATGTATATTATTTAAAATTCAAGATTACAAGTAAATTGTGTACAAGTACAACTTATTAAGCTTCATATTTGAATTCGTGTAACTAACTGTAAATAAATATAATCAAATACAAGATAAAATTCTTATTTTAAATATAAAATTTAAAATATAATTAGGATAATTATTGAATTCTAACAGAATACTTTGTTATTATTTTTATAAAAATTATATTATTAAAACAAAGATAAATTATTTTATCATTAAACCTAAATTAAATTATAATAAAAAATTTGAATTAATGAAATTATACAAAAAATGAAGTCTTATATATATATATATATATATATATATTAATTTTTATGATATCTTTAAATTTATATTTTATTGAGAAAAATATTATTATTTGCTCAAAAGCACATAAATTGTATTATAACATTGTTAGATACCAAAAAATTAAAATGAAACATTAAAATCGAGATATATCTTGTTGTATTGCACGAATACCCTTATAGTAAATTTGTAAATACTTTTTCTTCTAAAAAGGCATGAGAGGCGGCTTTCTTTTTAATTTTTGGTTCTCCAAATCTTTTATTGAGTGGTACATGACATTTGGTTTGCATATCTCTAACAAATGTTATTACTAATTATTAATATTAGTTGAAGAATATGTGGTTCAATTCCATACGGGAAAACCCTGATTTGTTGCAAAGAAGTTTCCTTGTAAATTAATATGATTCCTTTGAAATTATTTTATTTTGGGAAAGAACATGTCCTTGCAACTCTTTATCATTTTAAAAAGGTCTTGCAAATGCTTTTCCACGTAATATACGTCACTAATTAGAAAAATCGAGGAATATTCCTTTTCATTCAGCAACGGAATGCGATGATGAAAATCTGATAGAGGAAATTTTCTATATGTTGAAATTAAACACTTAATTCAACCTATTTTCTATATGTTGAAATATATGCTACTTTCTTAGCTTTTGAAAACTGCCAATCAACATTTAAGCTCATTTAAACCCTACAACTTACATGCATATATGTATGAAACATCATAAGCATATAAAAGCATACATAGGTTCACTACTTTCTTAAAAGGTATGTTGGAGAAATGGACCATGGTATGCCCTAAATCATCTCCAACAACTATTTATGTCATAATAGAGATTTTGATTATAGACGAGTTTTGTGTTCTAAGAGCTATGATATATTATCTTGTAAAATAGAAAAAACAAAGAATATGAATAGAAGAAAAAATCAATATTTTAAGTATTTATCACCAATAATAACTATTGAAAATAAATGTTAAGAAGAGAAAAATAATATTTTATTATATGTACTAAACATTATAAAAATATAGTTAATGTTAAAATTACATAAATAAAGTAGTTGTTAGAATTAGATGTGATATATTTTTTGAGATTTTGACTTTTATACTTTACTTTAAAAAAGAATATAGTATGTAGATGCTCTAGCTAAGTACCGTCAAAAATTCTTGTTATCTTTAGAATCAATTTCAATTTATTCGACCACGAAAACCCTCTAGGTGCATTCTGTTCCTAGATAGTCGACCTCCTCTACTAGTGCATTTTATAATTCTTGTAAGCATCAGAAACATTTCGTCTTTTATTTGCTATCACTCGTCCCCGAATATCATGCAATGTTTTTGGTAACCTTGAAGTTCTAGTCCTGGTCCTCAACCTCTCTTATGGACAAATAAGTGAAAATTTGTAGAGATGGATGTAGTGAACGTATATACTTGTACTCCGTTAACGACCTTATCATAAGAAGCAAATTCCACAAAATGAGTGTGTATATGTATCCAAGATAAAGTATCTTGAATTCTGCACTCGTGGGATGTAATGAGTTTGCTCATATGTAATAACATGTTTTTTCCCAAAAAACGAAGAGAGGGTTATAAAATATAGTCTTCTAGCATCATCTAATATACAAAAATACATTTTGTACTTCAAAAAGAAATACATCTTATGCAAATGAATAAGGTAGCCAAATTGCTATAGTTATACTTGTACTTTACTTGTTTATAAAAATTTAATCATATGAACACTATAAATACGAAGATTTATACAAAACCTAAATTGGAAACTAGTCATATAATTATATCTAAAAACATATCTGACCTAAAGTTAATAAGTTTTTCCTTATCCAATAGTGAACATTTGAAATCCATTCATTCTGTAACCCCTCCCCTTTTCACTCTTCTCTTCACAAGCTATGGAGAACTTCATTCTCCGACAACCTACCTAGCTTGTATGCTAGCAGTTTCTTTTGCTATTCCCTTCCTCCGCACTTAACTCCCCATTGGCTTGTCGCCTCTATCATCGTTAGTATGTTCAAGATCTTGGTTATGTGACAATGGAGCCTTTGTGCCAGAGAGGTATGTTTCAAGGAATTGCCATTCTTACACGTTTTTATACTTTGTTATGTGATACTTTTCCTTACATTAATTTTATATATAATTTTTAATCCTCGGTGAAATGCTCATCATGCATTCTTCTTAATTAATATAAATATATATACATATAGTGTGTATGTGTGTGTGTGTGACTTTTTATTAGTGAAACAATAAGATTCAATGAGTGATAAAGATAAAATGAGACCTTTACCCACATGACAATATAATATTTAAAAAACGTTGTCTACACGTTCTCTAGTTTTATGAATCTTATGTGTGAGAGAGATTAAGATACGTACCTTGTTCTCTTGATTTAAACGAGATAAACTACATATTAAAAAAGAGGGTCGTTGGCTACGTGCAATTAATATATTAATTAATTAAAGCATCTCTTTTGCAAGTTAGGATGCCAATTAATTTAATAATAACTTATGCCCATATTTTAATTTTTAGTAATGTGTATACAGCCATCTCTATGATGGTTTTGAATGTCAAAATATCAAAAAAATAGAAATATGACCATGGAACTTAAAGCTCGGACAATGATAAGTTTCGAAGGATGACATATAAAAATATACATCTAGTTTTGCTCATTTTGATTGATTATAAACTCACTTTCATTAGTTTTGTTCTAAATTGCAGGAGTATAATAAAAACGCATGAATTATTTTTGTAGCTATTATATTTGACATTTTGTATAATAAATAATTAAAACAAAAATACTATACGTACTTGTTACATATTTATAATACTACAAAAATTAAAAATCTTGTGTTTTAATACAATACTTGAAAGAAATCCATGTAATATTTATTTTAATATAAAGTGTCACATAGATATAGTTTTATTTATATTTATGGTATTTGATCATATTATGTCATCCTTATTCTATTGTTGTACATGTGAAAAAATAGTTTGGACAAATGTTCAAAGAATAAAGGAAATAACAATTAATCATTATCATCCTAATTAAGAAAACAAATTAAGAGAACAAGAGATCATTAAATAAATTTGTATAAAAAATCAATTAAAAGTATCGTAATTTAATAGAAACCTTCATTGTAATATAATATAAAACCTTGGTTGTAAAAGCAAAATGGCAGTAAGTTTTTTTCAATGCACGTTTTTAGCTATATTCTTTTTGATATTGACACCATTACAAGTCAATATACAATTGGAGGGTTTATAATCCAAATAGTCACGTATTTGTTGTATGAGCCTTTCACCTTTTTGGGAAGGGTATTTGTTGCATAAATTAATGGCAATGTAATAAAGCAAGTGGATTTGGAATAGAATTTTTCAAATGAAAAGGTGTTTAATCTTTATCTCTTTATAATCTTTTTTTATGCTTTGCTTTCAATTACATTTTGTACGCAACCTACCTGTGTGTTTGTCAAATCGACCCCACCAACGAGACACCTTCACCAAGAAGATGATGACCCTGGACCCATGTGTGGATCAAAAAGCTCTACCTTTTTCACTTTGATTGGTTTCTTGGCTGCTCTAAATATGGTCTTGTTTTTCTTTCTCTCTTTTCGGGTGAAAAAGCACACATAAATATGTGTATAAAGTGTTCAAAAAACCACACAAGTGCGTTTGATTTACTTTCATTCGCTTTTTGCTTCTCTCTCTCTCTCTCTCTTGTTAGTTATATATATATATATATATATATATATATGTATATATATATATATATATATGCCACAGCCTGACTTCTTGCAACCAAATAGAACTTTCCTTCTTCTTTTATCAACAAACATGAGAGTTCTCTAAACATTCTGTGCATAAATCAAGACTCTTCCTCTTCCCTTATAATAGTTGATTTGTTCATCGTCAAGTTCGTTATTACTTTCCCTGAATCTATCATGGCAGATGTTCATAAAGGCCATGATTCGACTGGTATCAAGTTATTTGGTAAGATGATCAACGTACAAGAGATGAGAGAATTGAAAGAAGAGCCGGTAAACAAATCAGAAGTGGATGATGATCAAACCCTAGTGAACAAAAGGCCAGACAAGATCATACCTTGCCCTAGGTGCAAAAGCATGGAGACCAAGTTTTGCTACTTCAACAACTACAATGTTAATCAGCCAAGACACTTTTGTAAGGGGTGTCAAAGGTACTGGACAGCTGGTGGTGCACTCCGCAACGTGCCGGTGGGAGCTGGACGCCGGAAGGCTAAGCCACCCTGTGGCCATGGTCTATTGGGTGACAGTTTCTCAGATGTATCATTTTTGGATGATAACACATCAACCAGTGGTATCCACTTTGATGGGGTGGTGGACTGGCATATGGCGGCACATGGCAGTTTTCAACATCTTTTTCCGGCGAAGAGGCGGAGGAACTCCCCCGGCGACATTTAATCGAGAATATATGTATTAGAAAAGTAATTAATTTGTCTGGATATCTAGGGCCACTGTTAATTAATTAATAGATATTAAGGAAGTAATAATTGCCTTAATTAAAAATAGTGTGAATGAGTATACTTTCCATGGATGGATACAAAACCAAGTCTTATTTGTACTTTACTTATATGGAAAGTCTTTATCCAATCCAGCTGGTTGGCCTAATTTGTCGCTGATTACAAGGAAATGATATGTACAAGCGTGTGAAAAAAAAAATATATATATATATATATATATATATATATATATAGGTTTAATCATTTGAGGACCCATTAAATTGTGATAACCTTAAGAATTTGTACATCATTTGTTATTTCCTATGATCTTTTTCAATCTAGGAATATTATTTAATTTATTGATTACATATAATTGTTTCACAGTATGTTTGTTTTATACGCATTCGTTTTTTCTAGATGTATCTTGTGTTTCACAAACACGTCAAAAAGGATCACATTAATGTGAACCGAGCACATGTGAAGCAAACACATTATGAAACAGATATATTTTAATTAATATTCTAAATCATAGTCTTAGATAAAAAAAATAATATGAAATAATACATGATACACAAGTTCTCAAAGTTATCACAATTTCATGGGTTCTCAAAAGAAAGTCCCTTTTATACCTACATACATGCATGCATGCATCCATCCATCCATCCATCCATCCATCCATACATACATACATACATACAGACATACAGACATACAGACATACATACATACATACATACATACATACATACATACATACATACATACATACATAAACATTTACACCAAACTCTTAATTACAAACCACAAGATACAAAGTACTACCATTTTATGCATAAATTTAAAAAAAACTCTTAATTACAAACCACAAGATACAAAGTATTACCATTTTATGTATAAGTTTCAAAAAAAAAAAAAAAAAAACTCTTAATGACAAGTTATAAATCACAATGTACAACTTGTTGATGCATTTACATTTACCCCTCTACCATAACCACCAAATAGGAATGTTTCAGACTTTATTTCCTTTGGAAAAAAAAACTCTCCAGACCCTATTTTCAGCTCCCACCCTTTCTTCACCATGAACCCCTTCCTTCTTAACAAGAGAACCCCAAGTCTGGATCATGAAACAAACGAGGAACCCCTTGATCTAGCATTCAGTCGTCGCCACCGGATATATCCCTTTTGTTGACTTCGGAGAAATATAAGCAACACAACCTCTTCACGAATCGTTTTTTTACATCCACCAAGAAGAAACAACAGTTACCAAAGGGCCTTTAGCCTAGCGGTATCATAGCCTTTGGCCTTCTAGAAGGTTAGGGGTTCAAACCTCACCATAGGTGAGGAGGGTGTGTGATTTTTTGTTGCATTTGCCTATAAATATTATTATATACTCAAAAAAAAAAAACAACAGTTCTTCGTTCAAAGCTTTCAAGGCCAGATCCAGGATCCGTAAGTTTTTTCTTCTTCGTTCACCTTATTTGAAGGTCTTGTTCTATAACTTTTTTTTTTTGATTTTATAGAACATATTTTATTCTATAACTTTTTCTTGTTCGTCGCTCACTGATCTGCTCCTCAAGATCTAGCCTTTCTATTTTTTTTATTTTAGATTTAATTCAAGGTTTTTCTGCGTTTTAGTTTAGATTTTTGATTTTGGGTTTCTTTGAGGATTAATTATAGGGGTTATTTAGGTGATGATTTTAGGGTTTCTTTCAGGGTTTGATTATAGGGATTATTTAGGTAATGATTTTAGGGTTTGTATTACACTTTGTTTTGAATGACATTATATTAAAATGTTGTTTATAGTGACTATTTGTTGATGAAGTTTACTCAAAAGATATTTACATTCTTGGAAAACAATCGAATCGAGGGTCCGGAGGAGAATTGACCATTTTGATGGTACGAAGAAAGATACTGAAGTTGTGACTGCTTCTACTCCAATTTCAAGTAATTAATTTCCCTTTTTTCAAACTGTTCAAGATGATTTCTATAATTTGTATAAATTTGTCATTTTTTATTTAAAATAAAAACATAAAAAAAAAAAATTATGGCATGTGGTTCCTTTCCTTGATAACTTACCGATTGTTGCTAAAATGATGATTTTGTGGATGTTTGAATCGTTAATTTGCAGCGACACATTATGAGCCATTTTCTCTTATGTTCTTCTTTTAGCCTTTTTAGGAGTATCCATCCATTCATCCTTGATTTTATTAGATGTAAAATATGCATCATTTTTACTTAGTCTATCTCTTTCTTGTTGGAATCAAGATTCATGCTGGTGTTTGGGTTTGTTATGGTCATTTTGTGTAAATAGCTATGATAGGACCTTTTGGTCATTCATGTTTGTATTGGTTATTATCGTCATGTTAGGATGGATCAATTCCATAAGGTACTACTATCACGAATAACACAAGTGAGCAATAGTAAACTTCCAAAGTTTCTTATTTGTATTAGTTTGTTTTTAGCCTTTTGGTTGTCATGTTTCTTGAAAGTTTGATTTTACCTAATCATATTCGAACTTTTGAGTTCAAAATTTCCAAAATGCGAAATTGATATCATTTTGTATCAGTTTACTTTTACCCTAATCATGTTTCTTGAAAGCTCAATTTGGGTTGGTTAGTTTCTTGAAAGTTTGATATAAAAAACTGATATTGAAATGCGAAATTGATATGAAATATGAGTTTACCAAACGCTTACCCAAGTAAGCACTTATAAAGTCATGTTACCTTATCGAATAAATATGCCAAGGAAAGTAAGTGATACTATTGAATTTTACCGGTGAGCACTTATTTGGATAAACATTCGGTAAATGGCCCCTTACTCTTCCATCTATTATTAAAACTAAAACTGATATATAATTAACTAAAAAAAAATAATTACACACTTGTAAAACTGTTTGTTTTCAGTGTGGACATATATTTTTGGGATAGATAGGAGCAATTATTTTTTAAGTTTGACAAGTTATGTTTTCTTCAACAAGATGAATTATGCAAAGAGATGCTCCCTGGACATGATGCATTTCTTCGATATTGTCCGGACGAAGGTAACTGTTGTAAGCATGGTAGCTGGAGATCAGATTAGAGACAATTGTAGAAAAACCCCAATGCCTGGATTTGCTATATTGATGTTTGGGTTTTTGAGCAAACTTGTTGTATCGTTCTGTCAATTGAGCTACACATGTAATAAAATTTGACATTCCACTTTTATGTGAAATTTCCATCATTTGAGAGCTTAATGTGTTTTCACACCAGGGGATGTAAGAAACCGACCATGATCTTCTTGGTGCTTTAAATGTTATGCAACTAATCTAACATAACATGCACATATGTTTATATTTTCTTTTAGTTTCACTTCATGGTATACTGCCATGTATCAATGCTTCTTATACATTTTTCTTTCCTGTTGCAGATTTATATCGGCAATCTTGACCTTCTTGTTACAGAGGAGGAACCGAGCCAGATATTCTTGTTATGTGGGTAAATAGTCTATGTCAAGATCCCTGTGCAGCTAAGGGATGTGGATTTGTTCAAATTACAAGCTAGGTCTTTGTTTGATGTGACAAAGACTTAATAATTATAAGAACTGGTAAAAGCTTATGCTTTTACATGTTTATGCATTTTTATGGCCGTCTTTTTTGCATATAAGTGAAATTGTATCTTTATGATATCTAATATGGTGGTATATGTCTCAACTCCATATTGTTGATTGTGTGCTATGCAGGACATCTACTAAAGAAGCAATTCAAAGTATGCATGGAAGCTATCCATATTGGTCAACTTGTAGTCCACCTTTCTTGGACAAGAGCGTAACTTCTAAGCAGGTGAAGTTTTGTTAGTTTTTTAAATGAGAATTTCATGATATGGAATAAATAGCCCATTTCAGCAAAAAAGCAGTAGGAGGTTCATTATGGTCTACAAGCTTAAAACTTTATAGCTTAAGGTCAAGATGCAAGTTTACTGAAATAGTTATTTATCATGCTCAGCTTTCTAGCATTTCTCTTACCACTAAAATTACAACATAAGACGGCTTAGAATTCTAGGTTTTTCAACTTGGAGGAGAGTTAAATTTACAAATAGTGTGTTTTTTAGTTTTGAGATTTTTCAGCATCTCCCACATATAATGCAAGTTTGTTTTTAACACACTTATGATGTGCCCTTGTTATATATATATATATATATATATATATAGTTGATGATAACATTTTATAGTTTGGTTTAATATATTGTTTATGTTTATGTATGATAATTTGTGTATATAATAAGTTTCTTCAGTGACAATTTTTGCATATAAGTTTCCCCATCAATGTTTCTGCAAACTTGCTTTATACGTTTCTGCTTATAATGTTTTTAGAAAAACTTTTTGCTGCAGTTTTTCTGTTTTATGCATAAAAAATTTATGCATAAACCTTTTATTCACGTCTATAGTAGCAGTAATGTGTATAACTTTTTTAAAAAACGTTGTGCCTTCAAAGTGTTTATTTCTTTCGTTTTTTACAATGTGAGGAACAATTTAAGGTTTCTGGATTGGTTTTGGACAGTTGTGGTTGATTATGTCAACCGATTTCTATGTGTGATGTACACCATCTTAAACCTACAGATTTTCATTTACGCAATAATCAATTTCTTTGATTTTTCTTTATCTGACCAAACTCACACCCCTTGGCATCCCTGGTAAGAAGATGTTTCGCATATTCATTTTTAGTTTCTTTAATTCATTGTGGTTTGTTTCTAGTTTGACGATTTTCATTATGTTTTTATGAATATATTTGTGCTAGAAGTTTGATGCAGATCAAATGACACTTGTGGAACTAAACAAAGTAGAAGGTTAGATGCATAATGCTTCAGTTTCTACGTATGCATTTGACTATTTGATTTCTTTATTATAACATCATAATTTAGTTGGTTTTGCTTGAATTGTAAACAGGCCATGAAGCGGAATTTATTTACGAGAAATCTTCCTACGAGGATCATGCTCATCGGGCTGCACCATCAAGGTATTAAGTGGCTTGTGCAAACTTATATATCAATGTTTTGTAACTTATGCATATTACTTGGGTTGAAGCATAGCAACTTTGACCTATGTGTTCTTAATGTAGACATCAATGATCGACTACGCTTCAAAGTGTTGTGAATTTCTTTACCATTTCATAATGAT